AATCTACCCCCCCCCCCCTGGTACCAACAAGAACATGCCTGATTCACAACTGTATACACGTGGAAGATATTGTCGTTTTTCTACAACTTCAAACAATGTTAATTCTCATATTTTTCTCTATTGTTTCTTCAGCAGAAGTACGCAAGTCACCCTTGTAAAAAAACACAAAGGAAAAAATTATTTTCAAATAGAAAAACGCGGATATATTAATAATCAGACAAATGTTTTAATGGTTCTGTTGTGAATCCGAAATGCAAATATATAATTGGAGATTTTCTTAAATTACGCCTGTTTTCCCTTTACAGTATGATAGTTTTTCCTAGAAAGATTGTTGAGTGGAGCAGACTAGAAGTTTCAATATTTAAAGGTTGGACAGGATTGCAGCAGGAGGAAAATAGTTTGAAATGTTATTGTTAAATGTGTCGACGGTGAAGAGGGGGGGCATAGGGGGGTCGACGGTGAAGAGGGGGAGGCAGGGGGAGGTCGACGGGGAAGAGGGGGGGTCAGGGGGGGGGGTCGTGTTTAAATGTTTATACGGAAAAAGCTTTGTAGATTTGAGATAATTGCTGTTTTAAGGAATTGTCTGAATACAAAACTTTAATCTTTAATAATAGATAATTAAAAAATTAAAGCACACTGTCTGCAGTACATTCAGAACATTTTGTTTTTGAAAACCCTTCGTAAAAACACGTACACATTACCGTTCATCGTTTGGAAAAGAAACTTGCATCTTGTATACAGTAGCAATAATCCCAATATCTAAAGGTGCCCTACATTGTGTAACCTAAGGACTGAACTTTTTGTGATGTTGTTCTCCGGATCAAGCATTGAACTCAATCTTATGGAGATCTACGGAACATTGTAATCCTTTTCTATATCCCGTGAAGGTCATGCCCTTCTGAGATATCATTAGAGACTAAGCATTGATCCTCTAATTTAAAAGTGTCCACATTGAATATCGAAATTAATAAAGATTAACCATATCCACACAAAAGTTCCGATCCTTAAACTTTGACTATTGAACTTGTAAGAATACGTATTTTGGAATGAAAAGGTGCACGACATCTGTTTGCAAAAATATAAGAGTTGGAAAGTTAAAGATTGAGAAGATTGAAAAGTGTGTAGTCTATATGCACAAATTATTATTATCAAATATCTACTAATCAATTTATTATCGAATATTTTCCCAAGATTTATACAATAAAAGCTTTGTTTCGTCAGGGGAACCCTGATGAATCATAATCATAAACATTTGTTTTCCTACCTAGAAATCATCGCCGATACGGGTCTTGTAATCCCCGGTTACTGACTGAAGAGAGAACAATCTTGAAATCCAATCCGTTCACGAAAATGAATCCATTGTCCTCTTAAAGTAAGTTTCACGGTCTCAGATTCAAAACTAAAGAAATAACCCCTTTAGCAACAAATCTATGATAAAATAAACGCGGTCGAATAGAAAAAGTAAGACGCTTGGAATCTAATCAAGTCAAATACTAAAACCCGTCTTGCTTGAACTATAACGAACCAATATAACTATAAAATACTAAAATCTTCAGAGTTTATCCCCAAATGTTCACATCTTAATCTATAAAAATACCTTAATCCGTCTCCGACGATTTATAGGAAAGAAAAAACAGTAATCCGTCTTCCGACCAAATCAACTATTCCTTGAGTCTGAAAATACCAAGTACTCAAAAATAGAAGACCTTCAGTTTCAACATAAAAAGATAAAAACTATGACTGAATATTTCTCATAACCTTCGTATAAAAAACTGAGAGAATGAACTAGAACCCGGAGCGTGTCTAGAATTTTCTACGCATGCGCCGAGTATTTTGGTTGGAACTGGAAACTGAAATCCGGTCCCTGGAACTAACAAAGTGATTTCGGTCCCTGGAATCACTTAACATACCCCCGGCCGGGGAAAATTTCCAGTCCAACCACTGAAAGACAAAAAAAACCCAAAATTTTTCTCAAGAAACCTGGAGTACTTGGTAATAACAACTCCTAAAGGATTTTTTTTTTTCCAATTAAACTTCCAATTAACACCTATTAGATTCAGTGAACATTATCAGGACCATGATCAGTAAATAAAACACATAAATATGAACAATACTTTATTTAACAACTATATATATATTGAACTCTATAGAACTTGAATTAATATTGAAAATCCAGACTATCATTAAAGCTTTTAAGAATCATCTGGTTAAGATCTATCATGGTTTGTAGACAACAAAAATAAAACTCCATGAAATGAACTTAATTTTTCTCCATGTAAAAACTTTGCTTCTCAAAGAAATTGACACTTCATTTATGGCCACTGTAATAGTTTTGAGATCAAGGAACAAACAAAAAAATAAACAAATTCCAATTTAATAAAGGCTACACCCGTATTAATACCATCCTTGGAACTGGAGATCCAGACTCAATCCAAATAATCAGTGAAGCTGAACTCCAGGTTGAACTCATCCGAATCCACATACTTCTCAGCTTCGATAATCTCATCGTAGGTTCGTGTATCCTTGGCAACCTTGCTCTTCTTACCCTTCTTCTTCTTCTTCTGGCTAATCTTCTTCCTGCAGACTGGCTTAGGATCATTGATCCCAGGAATCCCAAACTCATCATCCTCCATGCTGTCTATGATCACAACCGGCTCACCTTCATCAACAACTACTGGTTGATCATTAGACTTAGGCTCCGAACCTTCAGGTTGTGATCCTACTGTCTCCTGAGCTTCACCATCAATCCTAATCCTTTTAGGGTTGGGATGAGAAGCCTTAGATTTAACCCTCTTCCTGCTTCTTCTCCTATGGATCCAAGCAGGAAGTTTAGGGATTTCATTTAACCAAAGGGTTTGATCATCCTGATCCTTGTT